TAAATAACCTTTATATGAGGTTCAGATTTCCAGAATCATCCTGTGAATCGGCTTCATCTGGTATTCTGTGTTATTATTGGTGGAGATCTGCATAGCCTTTCTCCCTAATTTGTCATCAAGCCCCACGTCTCCTTCTATCTTATTTTGATGCTTTCTATATGATTCAATATTTTGCCCACAGAATCCTTCAATATTGCAATTTGAAGTTGATTTTTTTCTTCAGTTCCCTCAGCTTGAAGAATGCTGAGTGTGTTCTTCCCTCTTGGTTTTCTAACTCCAGGTCTTTGCACACTCTGTTATAATGTTTAACTTTCTCTTCTTGACCTTCCTTTTACAATTTTCTACTCAGCTCTTTAACCTCATTTCTTCCATTTGCTTTAGCATCTCTACACTCTCACTGGAGAGCAAGTTTCAGAATCTCTTCTGACATCCATTTTGGTCTTTTCCTTCTTTCTTGTCTTCCTAATGACCTTTTGTGTCTTTCTGTATGATGTTCTTGATGTCATCCCATGACTCTTCTGGTCTTTGGTATATAGTGTCTAATGCACAAATATGTTCTTTAGATAATCTCTAAATTCTGGTGGGATATGTTCAAGGTCATATTCTGGGACTTGTGTTTTTGCTTTAGTTTTCTTCAGCTTCAGCATGAACTTGCATATGAGCAATTAATGGTCTGTTCCACAGTTTGTCTCTGGCTTTGTTTTGGCTGATGATAGCTTTTCCACTGTGTCTTTCCACAGATGTCTTCAATTTGATTTTGGTGTATTTTATCTGTTGAGATCCATGTGCACAATAATCTTTTGAGCTGTTTAAAGAAGGTATTTGCAATGAAGAAATCCTTAGTCTTGGAAAATTCTATCATGCCATCTCTAGCATTATTTCTGTCACCAAGGTCATATTTTCCATCTGTTGATCCTTTGTTTCCAACCTTTGCATTCCAATCGCCAGTAATTATTAATATATCTTGATGGCATGTTTGATCCATTTCAGACTGAAGTTGGTAGAATTCTTCAATTTCATAATGGGAAAATGGTGCCCAGTGTGGGCAATGCCAGACCTTTTGGGGGTGCACTCCCACCTGTGTGAAGGTACCCAGGCTGGGTGACTCAACGGCACACCATACCATAGGAGTCCTAGTGTGGGGCTGTAGGATAAGCACTCAACATCAAGGTCAGTTTTTAGCACAAGGTCGGTAGTTCAAATTCACCAGCCATTCCTTGGAAATCCTATGTAGGGTCACTATGTATGAGTCGGAACCAACTCAACAGCCCTTAACAATAAGATATTTCTAAAAACTAACAACCAGACTTTTTTGGAACATGACTAGTTTGTCCAAGTGGAGATTAATTTATCTGTGGGTAAGTGTTTGGGATGTCAGCTCTTTAGATATAAATTCAAGGCTGTATCAAGAATTCCATGTGTTTCTCCAAAGGAAATATCACCTAGAATACTGGCTTGAAAACATTTCTATTTAAAAACAAGTCAAAAAAAATTTTTTTTAAAATCAGAATAGAACTTTATTTGTGGCTTCAAGATTTTAAAAAATAATTTTAAGCTTTAATGTATACAGTAAATTTTGATACATTAATGTTAATACAGATTTACTGTATCCAAAGACATATTAAAAACAACATCAGGTGGGTTATAATCAAAATTGTTTTACTTGATATTTATTGGAATAACTTCAACATTATAAATAACAAAAATTAAAAGAAATTCCATTTAAATTTGAGTTAGGGTGAATGTATTTGAAACACAATTTTATGTCTTAAAATTTTTGATCACAGAGAAAATGTACGCTAAAATTATGTGCTTATAATTTCTTGAAAAGTCTGATGTTCTTGTATGACAATAACCCTATTGGTTTTCTATAAGTAGAAAATCTTTCGAGATATTTTTCTATCTGGAGCAAAGGGCTGTGTTGCTCCACCATGCTCCTTCTGGACCATCAGACCACACCAGGGAGGAGCGGCGAAGGATGATCTGTGGCTGAAGCTGGTGGGAGTGAGTCAGGATTCTTGAATAAACACAGTGAGTTACTGAATCATCCAAAGGAGTATCAGTCAGATCAAAAGATAGTTACACATTTTACCAAGCTCTGACATCTATGATATTTCACATAATTGGTATTTAAATATCCAGGTGGGAGAATGCTATTTTAACACAAATAATTTTCACTTTCAGTTTTAAATACTAAGGACAATTCCATGCATTGGCCCATATTAATATTACCTTGCTGATGTGGGGACAATGAATTCTAATGGTAAGGCCCATATAGATGGAGATAAATATGTGTGTCTGCCATAGGATAAGCTCTAAAGGTCAGCTTGAACTGCAAGGTGGGCGGTTCAGAACCACGAGGTGCTCCTTGGAAACCCTATACAGGGTTGATATGAGTTGGAACCGACTTGACAACACTTAACAATAACATATAATGTGTGTGTATACATCTGTGTATTTAACATCAGATGTGTTCTATTTTCCTTATCTATTAAAAGTGCTGTCTAGTCAATAGCAACCTTGTATAGGGTTTCCAAGGAACAG